CACTCTCCAGTGCGCCACCGGGCCGGCCCTGGAGTTCTCATCTTTGAGAATGCAAACATGAGACTAGTAGGTGGGATGTCTGTGCATGAATGAATTAATCTTACATTACTTCTTTTTATAGGTAGAGAGGCAGGATGGAGGTGGTAGTTGTCCAGGGGCATAAGGGAAATGATGGAAAGTGTGGGGGGGAAACTGTAGAGAGGGCAGACTGCTCTAAACACTAACTTTGATTAAATAATAGTATTTCTAGGATCAAACTTGATGTTAAATATCTTCAGGAATTTATTCAAATCAACCTCACCACCACTACCTTAGCCATATCAATGGTAAAATTCAGTAACAGTATATCTTCCTTCTCTTGGTTGGTACTGTACTAAACGTGTTCAGGGCACACATATTTCAATGCAATCATCCATCTAGCAACAGAGTTGCTAAAATCTTCCTAGATGATTTCATTTAAACATACAAAGCACACACTATTAAATCTACAATCTGGACAGGTATGATGACTATCTCCATAAGAACACACTTCATTAACTAAGAATAGATTGCAACTCATTACAAAGTTGCACTAAGTGTTTGAATTGCAGTAAGACTACCCAGAAACCTTTGGGCTCTCAGCTTTACATGAATACCTGAGAAGCAGCTTTCAGACTCTGGAGGAAACAAGTCCTCAGAGAGCAGTGACAGATGCGGGAAGTGATCAAGCTTGCAGTGTGAGGCACAGAAAGGCACAATTCACCTACATTTAAATAATATGCCCTTTATGGAAATGGCCAAGAGGCCAGGAGCTTCTCTACAGAGACAAGTACTGAGACATTAAAGTTTGCAAAGGGAAAAAATAGATATCTGGGACCAAACTCATGTTTTCCCTGAGACCAGTCAGATCCTGGATACCAGCAAAAAATGGGAAGAGGGAGGATAATTGGAGAGAGAGAGGGGAGGAGGAAAGGGAGCTCAGCCAGAACTAATCCATGGTAAAATAATTAGGAAAGGCTTTCCAATAGAAAAAGAATGGGTACGGAATGGGATGGGCATCTGGGACAAGGGCCCAGGCAACCTGATTCTAGATTCATGAGATCCTGCTCAAAATGCTTATTTCATCAGATCTCAGTATTTTCACCTGTAAAATGGGAAAAATAAAACTAATAATGCTTTCATTATTTGTAAATGAAATATCTGTCTCTATCCATCTGTCTTCCTGCTTGTCTATATCAGCATTTATATCTCTATGTTAGTCGTAGGACTTACTCCATTATCGATTTTATTGATAGTTCTAACGTGGTAGCCAAACGGTTCTCAAATAAGCAGCTCAGTTGAATTTCACCAACCTACCTATTTCTGACCTGAGACCATTCCCTCAAGGAGATCTCATTATTCTCCAGTTCAGTTTGTCCTCCTGCTTTCACTATAAGTTAAAAGGACGTTTTTGATGCTAGGAACATGGCAGGTGGGTATTCACCAACTCCCTAGGCCCATGGTTTAGGCAGCACATTTGCTGATGGAAAACATGATCTTCAAAGAATGCCTTTCTAGATAGTGAGGATTTTTTATAGCTTCTGACACAGAAGGTTTCAAGTAGAGAATGAATATCATGATTAACATTAACTTAAATGAATTCTATAGGAAGGAGGACTACAAAGTCCTCATAAGATGCCCTTAAGAGATGTGGTCTTAGAGAACTTGGCAATGGGAAGGGAAGGCAGAACAGAGAAATGGGAGTGAGTTGCCAGGACATACAATGGACTTGGGGCTTGACTTTCTTTTTCTAGGTTATTAGTGATCCTCTTTTCTGACTGCAGGGTCTTCCCCCTCCATTTTTTTTTTTTCTGTGAAAGAAATGTTGATCCAACATTTCTGAAGAAATGCAGACCCTTCTGCGTAAAGTCCTGAGGGTGCCCAGGCCCCTGCTTCATGGTGATAATCTTGTCTTCCTCATTTTTAAGTTCCCATCTCTTCTGACCTCACCTGCCCCATCCAGCTGTACCTCCAGAAGCTCACAAGAAAGTCCTTTATTAGTGGAGCTGGTGTGCTCACATCTCAGGAATGTACTTTGTACTTTAGTCTTTGTGTATGCCATGTCCCCACCTGGAACATTCTCTTGCTGAATCCCACCCTGTCAAATGCCACTCATTCTTCAAGACCTGCATCTAGCCCCATTTTCTCCTGGAAGCTTTCTCTGAATAGCTAGCCGTCAGGGAACTCCCCTCTCTTCTCTGAACTTTGAATAGCAGTTAGGGTCTATTTTGTATAACATAGTGCTAATTAACCGCATTATATATATCTTATTTTGTAATGAGTTATTTTCTCCAGACTATTTGAGTTAGGGACCTATGGAGCTAGGGACCAAGCTATTTGAATTAGGGACCTAGTCTACCTGGAACGGCAGAAGGGGCTACTTTTCCTAATTTGCTTACCCAGAAGGGGTTCTTTCTACTGATTCACACAAAGGTATGGTATAGACCAGCTTTAACCCTCTTGTTCCTTTGTAATCCATTTCAGATCAACCCACTTGCCATGGATAGATACCAGTTAGTCCCTAAGGAGAAAGATTATCTTCCTAGACCCGTTGAGTGACACCATTCATCAAATGCTTTCTTTAAGACACCATCTTTTTTATACACACAAAGTTGATACAGCCTTCCAGATGAAGCAGAACAAAAGACATTCTTTAAAGAAAATGAAGAAAAAGCCATCATGATACAAATAAAATTCTGAGATAGATTGTTCAGCAACAATTGTTAAAAGCCCTAGATACACAGTCAAATATGCAGTTTGGGAAAAGGGGAGAATAAAAGCCAGGTGAGCTAGCTGAAGGAGCTGCAGATAATGCAGATGGGAAATTCAGCTCAAGACAACGACTGTTTCCTGGCCACACTGCATCAAGTTCAGCACCGAGTAGAACTGGAAAGACCTGAAAGGACAGACCAATAAACTATACACCTTGGGGCACACAGATTTTCTCTCTTTGCCTAAGAGGAGTTTCTGGTTTGGGCCCTTGAGTAAGTCATGTATGTTGACGTGCAGGGCCACCTGAGAGGAAGGGGCAGCAGTCCCAGCCCACCATTTAGTATTAGACTAAATCTAGTGTTCTCACCTGCAAAATGGAGGTAATATCACCTCCCTCATTCGTTTATTCATCCATTCACCAGATATTTATTATCTATGGGCCCAGCACAAAGAAGCACAATGGTGAGCAAAACAGATACAGTCTTTGCCCTTAGCGGGTGTCCAGATCATCACAGGGCTGAAGTTACAAAGAAGGAAAGTGTCTTTGAACTGGAAAGCACTACAACAATGGAAGGTCTTCTTCATTCTCAAAGACTTCCACTCTTGATCTACCTGTGTGACCTAAGCAAGTCTAATTTTTCTGGGCTCTCCTATTCTCATCTACAAAAATGAGAAAATTTCCTGTCCTAAAATTTTTTTATTCCAAATTAATTTATTCCAAATGCAAATGAAGAAGTTAAATTTTGTAGGACTTCTGAAGGCTTTTGGCTTTCTAAGAGATCATGACCAAATAGTTCAGATACAACAGAAAGATAAGAATAATACAACAAATCCTTGTGTACCAGCTCACTGACTTAAAAGAGAAAACATTACAAGGAGGTCTATCTGGTGGCATGCCCTTTATTCCCCAAAGGAATAACTGTGACGAGTGTGGTGTTTATTATTTTGAATCATGGCCATCTAGGAAACCTGGTGTGTGACTAAGAATGGCTCATCAGAGAAGAGCTCTTCTGACACTTAGGTGTTGCTGGTGCCTAATGGATATGAGGTCATGACAGTACACATCACAGGAAGCTCAAGCCAGCCTGTTCTCTCCCTGCCAGCACAGCAGACAGAATTAGAAAAACCCTGTGCCAGGCACCGCTGCATTTAGGAGTACAGTTTTATATTTACCTTGAGGGCCTTCTGTGCAGATTCACTAGACCCAATTGCGATCAGGTTAGGCCCAGCCATGCTGCAGAAACTCTTCAAATGCAAAGCATCAACCACGGGAACTGTGGAGACTGCATAGTCCTATGCAGACAATAGAAAACAAGCAGTTTGGTATTGCAAACTAATTCTAAAACCAATTTAAATTGCCTGAGCCATGCCTGCTCCTTTGAAGGCTGTAAGGGACACTGAATATCTGGAAGAAAAATGGGGACCCACAAGTTTTGGTATTGCCAGTTAAATTAAGACTGCTTCTAGAAGAAAGCTCAGTGCTTCCTTCCAAATGTGTGACTGTGCAAACTGTAGCCCAGCTGGAGCCTCACAGCCTCACAGGGGACAGAGCTTCCTGAGGGTGATAGCTCTTCCTAAGCAGTCTGGAGAGCCATTCTATTAATGGTTAATAGTATAAAAGGACCTCGAGAGGATGTACATGCAATACCTACCACAGTTTCCAGAACACAGTAGGCACTGAAGTATAGGTGACCCCTGATTCCAATCTGAAAAATCCGTATTTCATATCAGAGTCAATTGGGTCGCCAGAGTTTTTTTGTTTTGTTTTGTTTTTTTGTTTGTTTGGTTTTTTAAGTTGTCAATTGTGCTAGGAACATCTGCCAGGTGGTTGTATTATTATACACTGGGAAAAAACAGAAGATGTCAATGCTAACTTTGTTGCTCCTGTGATTGCCCAATGAAGCTGATTTACTGAAAAATTTGAACTTGGTAGCTTTTAAAACTTCTAGCAAATGTACAAGTATTAGGAATTATTTTACAAAGCCAGAGAAGGATAAACACCATTACTCATGACACATTAATTCAATGGGTCTATAAATATTTATTAAGTAATTACTCTGTGCCAGGCCTAAATTATCCTTTACCTACCTTAAAAGTATCAGCCAAGATTTCAGCACCTCGTTGATTTGTCCTTTTTGAAAGGCCCACAAAAAATTCTCTGCCTGTAATAGATGTCATGGAACATAGTGAGTGGGTGATGCCAGTGACCACACACTGTTTCTTTTGTTTATAAATAATGACCTTAAAGCATCACACAGTTCTCTCCTATTACAGAGGACAGCTCCACGAAAGAGACACCTGCTTTCTTTACAAAAAACTGATTTCAAACTATTGCCTTTAAAAATAAACTTTTTCATATTCATAGAGACGGAAAGCAAAATGGTGGTTCCCAGGAGCTGGAGGGAAGGTAAGTGAAGAGTTATTGTTTAGTGGGTATGGAATTCAAGCTGAGGAAGATAAAAAAGTTCTGGAGGGGCCGGCCTGGTGGCGCACTCGAGAGTGCACCGCTTGGGAGTGCGGCGGCGCTCCCACCGAGGGTTCGGATCCCATGTGGAGACCGGTTCCCGCTCACTGGCTGAGCGCGGTGTGGGCGCAACACCGAGGGTTGCGATCCCGTTACCGGTCAGTAAAAAAGACAAAAAAAAAAAAAGTTCTGGAGATGCATGGTGGTGACAGTTGCACAACCATGTGAATGTAGCTAATGCCTCTGAACTGTACATGTACAAATGGCTAAAATGATAAAAATTTTTTGTATATTTTACCACAATAAAGAATGAACTTTTTATTTAGGAAATAGAGTTAAACACAATAATCTGTAATCAGAAACTAAGTAGTAGCAATGACAAGTGAGCAGTGCAGTACTACCTTTTTTGTTTTCCTAAAAGAACAATACTAGACATTCTTGATGAAGTCAAATCCCTTTTCTTACAATGACCATGTCAGGCCTGAAGAAACCATCTGTGTAAAGTAAGGTTAGTGTTGACTGGTCTTCAGGTCTGACCTCTAAGAACTCTGTCTTTAAAACTATATATCCATTTATATCAAATCAAAACATCAAAAGTACAAAAGTTTAGGAGTATGGAACTTTCTTACTTGACTTTTCTGAAATTCTGCAGTTTTTCTACTTAGAAGGCAAAACACTAAATAAAAATGGTCTCTTAGTTATAGGTAAACAAACCATTACAGCAGACAGGGTTGGGCGATACATAAATGTGGGGATTCTCATCCTCCTTTCTTTGGAAAAAAATTCCACATGAAATTTGGAAAATAATACTCAAACAGAAATTGATATCTTTTTGTCCCAGAGCATTGGGGTAAAATATAGGAAGAGTAGCCATATAGAAGAAATTATTTTATAGACTTTATGGAGGTTATAACTTTAGTCTTCATGTCTTTATAAAAAGGGTAAATAACACAGGCCAAATGATGTTAGGACAAATTCCAAGGCCTTATGCTGTTGGCAGACACAGGAATCTTTTTTGGCACATTGACAATTGTTTTTTGGTAATGGAATGATTGTGTTGTCCCTCAAGAAAACTCACTACACAAAAATAAAAAATTTAAATTAGTGAGACTTTTTTACTTGACAAAGGAATTACTCACTTTATAAAAAAGTCAGCTACAGTTTAAAAATATTAAGTTTCCTTAATTCTTTTAAGATAAGAATAGATTTATAAATTAGATTTATACACAAGTTTAAAGAAAAACATTGAATGCATTAAGCAAGTTTTAACAAATTGATAGGGAGCATGTATATACTATTGTTGGGGGTCCTGAAGGAAGATTTTAACCAAGGCCCTTTGTGTCACTTTGTGACAAGATGTGTTTATTTGCAGAGGGTTCTTAGCAGCTGGTTCAGTGGTTAATCAGTTGTCTGCATCTTTGGCTTCTGTAACCCTGCTGCCTGCTGCTTGCTGCCTGCTTGTTTGAGCCACCTGAATTCGGAGAAACTGCTTGCCCAAGATATATGTTTAGAAATTGAAACTTACAGAACCCAACTAACTGCACTTCCTGCTTCTGTATGGCTGCTTAATTAAGCCCGCAGTTTGTGTGACTCTGTCTGGATACAGGCAGGGCCAATGAGAAGCTTGCATGCCTGCTCAAGAAAAGCACAAAACCATAACTCTCCCTGCACTCAGGGTCCCAGGATTTAGAACATGAGTTCACCTGGGTCATGCTAGCATAATAAACTTCCTGGCTTTCCAACTTTCCAAGTGTCTGAAGTTTTCCTTGCCAAGTTCTTTCCATAACACTATTTCCATACAAAGATGTGATATGAAAGTACAAAGAAAAGTAAATTGCTTATATCTTTAAAAAGTAAATTGGACTTCTATTTCTGGCAGTATGGTGGACAAAATCCCTTAAATGATCTTCCTAACGGAAACAAATAAAATGCTGGAATTGAATTATTAAAAAAATTATTTTTTGGTTTTTATGTCTCGTGTCATTTTCTTCTATGCCAATTTGTCTTTGGTTTTTGTTTGTTTGTTTGTTTTTTCCTTTCTATCTCATTCATTTATAGGAGAAACCAGGTCATTTGTCCTATTGACTATCCTACATTCTGGATTTGGCTGATTGCTCCCTCATATCATTTAATATTTAAATTGTTCTATTATCCTTTGTATTTTCAGTAACCTGATAGTTTCATGGAGATGGGTAATTAGATTCTCATTCAATTTTTTTTATTTTTGATAAGACTACTTCAGAGGTGGGGCTGTACTTCTAGTATTTTTCCACATGGGGCACATAACTGACTGTCACGTTTTCAGTGAGTTGAGGTGGCATCATCCTGACTCCTCCATTATAAAGTTTCTCATCAAGCTTTCATATGATTATTTTAACATCCTTCGGATATCACCGCATAGATCCATTATTTTATTAGGGATCTGCATTTACTGGCTGGAATTCTAAAAGGAAAAGCTTTCCTCAATCAAGTATTTGGTCTACTTGAAATAGTATTCACAAAGGAAAGATAGGCTAAATGCTTGAGTCTTTCTTTTACATATCAATTATTAGAGTAATGAGTTGGTGTTCCAGCAACTTACAATAATGGCCAATAAGTTTTTAAAAAAACATCATTATCCACTAATGAGTCAAAATGAAATCATAACAAAAATTAGAAAACATTTAGAACTAAATGATAACAAAAATATTCATATCAAAACGAGGAATTCCGCTAAAGCAGTACTTGGAAGGAAAGTTATGTAGGCTTACATGCTTACATTTGAGAAGATAAAATGTTCAAAATTAATGAGATAAAATTCCATCTTGAGATGTAGGAAAAAGGAACAGAATAAAAACAAAGAAATTTGGAGGAAGGAAACAAATAGAAAGGAAATATCCAACAGAAAGGGTTCAACAAAGCAAACAGTTGCTCCTTCAAAAAAATTAATAATTGACAAACCTCTGGCAAAAAAAAAAGAAGAAGGCACAAGTAAACTTTAGGAATGCAAAAGGAATATAGCTGCAGTTGCTGTAAAGCTTAAACAGTGATTAAGAAGATATGAATAACTTCATACTCAACATTTTGAAAGCTTAGATAAAATAGATAAAATCTTAGAAAATGGAACTCACCGAAACTGATACAGGAAAACCTAAATTGTCATTTAATCATTAAAGAAATGCAATCAGTTTAAAATCTCCCCACAAAGAAAGCATGAGAGTATGTTTATAGATAAATTCTACCAAAGTTCAAGGAATACAATTCAAATAGCATTGATTCCACAGAATAGAAAAGTAAGAAATATTCCCTTATACATTGTATGAAACTAACATAACTCTTTTGCCAAAACCAGACAAGGACAACAAGAAAGAAAATTATAGGCCACAAAAATAAAAGTCTTAACAAAATATTAAACTAAATCCAACACTGTATTAAAAAGAGAATAAATCATGATCAAGTTTGACTTCATCCCAGGGATGCAAGACTGGTTAAATATCAGAAAATAAATTAATGTAATTAACTTCATCAACAGATTAAAGAAGAAAATCATATGATCATCTAATTGAAACAAAATAGAATTTACACTATCACCAGAAAGTCGTTTCTCGGTGTTCACATTAGAGAAACTCTTGTACATGTCCCCAGGAGACACACACAAGAATGTACATAGCAGCAGTGAAGAGATAACAGACAAAAACTGGAAAACACACAAATACACATCAGCAGTAAAATGAATAAATACATTGGGACGTCTTCTTACCACAGAGTTCTACACAGCACTGAAAATGAACTATAGCTACACACACCAACTTAGATCAAAAGTAGAAAAAGCACACAAGAGTTCACACAGTGTGACTCCAATAAGCTACAAGACAAGCAAATCTAAGACAACACGTAATTTAGGAATACATATATTGAGATAAAAAATCAATATACATATTGACAAGGAAGACAAGGCAATGACTAACACAAAATTCAGGGCAGTGGTTACCTGAGGGAGGAGGGAGAGGTTGGGAGTGGGACCACACAGGAGCCTCTACATTCCTGGCAATGTTCTAGTTCTTAAGCCACATGGTGGGTACCCAGGTGTTCATTTTATTATTCGTCTTTAAACTGTACATAAACATTTTGAAACTCTTTTTCAGGGACTCTATATTTCACAAGATACATAAATAGAAGTAGAAATAAGATGATGTTGTCTATTTAAGAGAAATGGGATTGAAAAAACTTTTGCCAGTAGTGGCTTGCCTGACTGACGATTTCCCAGCAGGAACTGGAGCTGGAAAGCAGCTTTCCTTCTGTCCATTTCCTGACGAATTATTAATGAAGCTCTGAGTTACAGAGGGAAGAGGACGCAGAGCACCACAGAAAGAGCTACAGATTTTACTTCTGACCCATGTCTGCCTAATCCAAAAATTGAGTGCTAATGGCTGTACAACATTGTGAATGTAATTAATGCTACTTGAATTCTACACTTAAAAATGGTTAAAATGGAAAATTTTATGTTATATATATTTTACCATAATCAAAAAAAGAAAGAAAGGAAAAGACAATAAATTTAAAAAATTAAAAAAGTTGAGAAGTAGGAAACAGAAGGCAGAACCAGATATTAGGTGTGAATGAGGTGCCCAGCAGATAAAGATATCCCAAAGCCATCTCAGTTTTGAATACAATAACTGCTAAGATATTAACTTAAGTATTGAATATAACAAATAAAAAAGTTTACTGGTATTATCAGAGGCAATCAGCAATGCTTAGTACATAATTAGAAGATGGGGCAAAAACATTAGGCTTGAGATGCTGTGGGAAAACTTGTTTTCAATTTAATTTAATTTTTTTGCTTGTTTGTTTGGTGGCTGGCCAGAACAGGGATCAAACCCTGGACCTTGGTTTTATCAGCACCATGCTCTAACCAACTGACTAACTGGCCAGCCAGAAAGACCTTTGACAAAAGGAAGGTGGTGCCTTCACACTGAGGAGATTTCAGGGGGTCTGTTCAGTTCAGCTGTTATGATAACTAAATGACTGTAAACATAACTCGTTTAAACCATAATTCAAATGTTATCAGTACCTGCTTACAAGTTATTTATTATATGGCTATGTTCTGAACAAAAAAGAGTTTTTCGTAAGGAAGTGTGATTCAGACATCTAGCTTTTCACAAAAGTCTATTTTCTAAGAGAAACAAGCTGTTCTGTGCTGCCAAAAAGAACGAAAGTGCCATCAATGTGAGACACAAAGAATTTTCTAAAGGGAACTTACTAGGCAGATTCAAAGAATGCTTGAGTCTGCTGGGGCACAACCAGAGTTGAGAATGCAGTGTAGGCCTCCTTGACTCCTTGTTCTGTGTTCTTCAGGTTCGGTGTGCATGCAAACCAAATCCAAGAGGCAGAACAAGCGCCTACAGCAGTGGCAGCACAGGTTGTGCAGTGCTCAGCTCCAGGGGATACTATTCACCCAACCAAGATAAGAATGGCGCCCCCTGGAGTTGGGCAACACAGTGGCCCTACCTATAGATAGATGACACTGAGCAAGGAACTACTCAAATGTCACAGGATAAACACTTCTCCAGGCACAATAATTATATCCAAAGGGAAGTAAATAAAATATTATTTTTATTAAAACAAAGATGGCTATATATTGGCTACATAAATGGGATTCAATATAAAATTCACATCAGCTAAAACATTAGACTTCCAGGAAGTTTCATGCTTTCAGTGGGCCACTTGGAGCTATATCCCCAAATTCCTAAGGACCAGCCTCTGCTGTTACAGGGCTACAATGGTGAAACAGGTATTTATTCTCTGACATTTAGGGGAAAATAAACTCTCACTATAAATTAAAATTACTATAGATTATCTTGCTCATCAGTATAACCAGAATGAATCTGGGGATCCAGATTTTACATGTGATTTTACAAAACAATAATCATATAATCATAAAGAGTTAGAAAGGTTAAATGCTAAAAATTACTGTCTTTAGTAGCTATGTTACACCCATTGTAAAAACTGATTCTGATTAGATAAATAATGATAGTAGCTGTATATATTTTGTTGAGTTCTGCTATCATTTATATGGCATTAATCCAAGTCGATCTGTATGGAAAATTATTTAAATTTATCTTGCCGTCTAGGAAGAAAATTACTTGTAAATGACACTAATCTCGAATTAAGGATCCTTTAAATACAAACCCAATCTATAATCACACAACAGAAAACTACACAACCTATGAACTCAAGATGTAGAAGAAATAGTAGAAGCAAGATGCATACTGATGATGTAAATACTGATAATATTCTCATAAAAAATGCAATTATATACATACAGAAGTACTAAGAGAACATACACCCAAATATTGAAGTGATTATACTTGAATGGAAGTTCATTTTTTTTTCTCATGTGTTTTTCTGTATTTTCCAAATTCTCTGCATTTGGCATCTATTACTTTGGTAATTAAGAAAAAAAAAACTATAATGAAACAAGTAAATACAACCAGGAACTAAAACTATTTTTGGATAGAAAAAATAAATACAACTATACCTGTAAATAAGACATCTCCACCATCTAAGGTTGCATTTTCATCTTTCATCTCAACTATATTGAGCTGAAGTTTTTCTAGTGCTTCTTTCATCATGTCAACCTATTGAAAATAAAATGACTGGAATTAATATCATACCATTTCCTAACAATAAAACCAACTATTAAAACTTGTGAATGCTAAATCACACTTCCATGTGCACACACACCCATACTGTGAATATATGGATATGTATAGTATAGTGTAGGACCAGTCATGATCATTTGTAAGAGAAGAAATGATCTGTTAGAAACTGCCCATTTTGTTCCCTTCTAGTCTAAGGTTGAGTCAATATTATAGTCCCTTTTCTGTAGGAAGGTTGACTACTTAGGGTGTTGTTGGAGGCTCGTTAGGGCACTGCAGGAGTCTGATCAGTTAGGACATTGTTGTTGTCTGACCTGTTAGGACACTGTTGGAGTCTGACCCGTTAGGACACTGTTGGAGGTTGACAAGTTAGGACACTGTTGGAGGTTGACCAGTTAGGACACTGTTGGAGGCTAACCTATTAGGACACTGTTAGAAGCTGCCCAGTTAGGACACTGTTGGAAGCTGACTGGTTAGGACACTATTGGAGGCTGACAAATTGGGACACGTGAGTCAAAGAAGATGGGAGGCTTAGTACCCAATCCAACCCTTGCCAGAAAGTACAAGATTTAATTTTAAACATTATGCCAATTAGTCAGTTAGTCAGAATTGCACACACACAGAGTAATACATGGAAGGAATATCAATGACAGTAACTAGTAACTTGAAATCTCAACCCATAGGACAGTCATTGTCCTCTATTCAAATATTTTCTAAAATGTCTGAATATCTAAGGCTTCTCTGTAAATCTAAACTGTTAAGTTTATACTCAGCAGTTAATATGATTAACTGTCTTTTAAAACCTAGTTCCCTAGAGGTGACTAACAAATACAATACTTGCAATCAAACCAAATTTAAATTAGGGAACACTTCTTGTGAGGCTTACACAAGACAAAAAAATGTAAGGCATAACAAATGCCCTTGGAAGCTCATATTTTAATTCATGTCCTTCCAGCTCAACAAAACAATGTAAGTATTTTTGAAGGTCTGTAAAACCTTTAATATGGTAAGGACATACAATGAGAAGACATGAATAGGTGCTATGGGAAAAACAAGAGATCACATCACACTGGGCAAAGCAGGCAGTTCTGCCAAAACACAGCACGCCGAGTACACATAGTGAATTGTCAATGAAGGTTTAGGAGACATAAATGTAGCAGTTACTTCCAAAGTAATAAAAATATGGAAATACTTTGACAACAAGCCTGACATTCATGCACTCAAAAAACATTAAAGAGGATACAAAGTAAAATAAATATATCATCTCATCCTTGTCCTGGAACTCATGTAAAAATTCCATGAACCAGAGTGACTCAGAACAATAAAAATTATTTCCATGGACAAAATGGTCTTAACGTTGTAATAAATACATCCAGTGACCTCTTTTAACAGCAGAATAGGTTTTCCTATGTAATAGGAAGTAGAATTGTTGCTATAGCATAAAAAAGGAGCAAAACAACATTTACCATGACTTGTTGGGCTACTGTGAACCCAGGAAAACACACAACTATTTCCTTCTGGCATTTCTGCTTCTGTGTCCATGGAAAATTCATTGACCTCAAAGAATCATGAGAACTGAGCTACAGTTACCTTTTGCTTCTATTACTAACGCTACTTCTTCTATTATGACTTAACATTAAAAAAATTACCAGGAATTCAGCAATAACATGGGATCTTGGTCTGAAAAGTTTATATGTAACTATGTAACATCTCAACTCAGGAACTTTATTCAAGAATTAAAAGAAAACAGAAGTAGGGAGGCTACTATATACCAGTTTTGGAAATATATTTCTTTTAAAGTTTTATTTCTTTCAAAATTAAAGTTTTAGAGGATAAAATGTTTGTGGTTTCTTAAAAGTTAAAACAGCTCCACTGACATTAAAACTGGCGTTTGTGCAGGGGCAGTACTTTTAAAAACAACAAAAAAAATTCAGTT